GGATAACAGTGTTTTGCACTCAAAGCTGTTCAATTCCRGTAGTGTTTGCTGTTGTTGAACTGGTTCAGGCTGAAACACAAAATTCAGCTTAGTTAATGAATTACAGCTTTAACCCTTGAGCATTCCAGCACTGTATGGTTTCCACACAGCTTGATATCCACAATTCTCAAAGCCACAAGCTCAGCAAATCCAAGGCAAGTTAAGACATATGTTGCCTACTCTTGCTGCCTTCTCTGCTAAGGGGCCAGGAAGATGCACCASAGTTTGAGAGAGCTGCCATTTCCTCACCTGGGTTCAAAGGACGTGGCTCAGCAGCAGAGAAGTGCCTGAGACAAAGATCAYRGGTCCTGGGACAGGATGGGGYTACTGAACATCAGTGGTATYTCTGTGRCATCCTCTCCCAGGATAAAGCAAGCTTTGTTCTTGCCACCAAGTGGGCAGTATAAACAGCAGAAGCACTGAAGCCTGTTTTCTGMGGGATGCACTCGTGCAAGTTGGTGCAGTGCTCTGATATCTAACAAGGTGCAAACCCAGGTGAACATTTCTCCACAGCAAAGCCAGTCCTGGCCGCCGTTCCCCACATGAGTCTCTGGTAGCCCATCCAGACTGAGGACACTCCTGCTTCCCTCTCTSCCCCCAGGGAAGGTATTAGTAGTCTTTGCTCTCCACCAGCTGCCCACCTACTTCCACAAYGCATCAAAACCTTTYATCCTTGGAGGGTTCAGGACATATKTCTGCACATGTTYRTCTCCACTCACAGAAGTAAAGGGTAGACTGCAAGAGTAGCTCAAATCCAGGCAACCACATTCCGACTCCCAACGTGTAGGACTGTATCAATTCAAGGGAGGTCATGTCACACTTTTGTAAAGTGTTTTCAAATTGAATTCACTGTGGTTTTTAATTCCCATCCATTGTGTCTTGTTCCACCTTTTTCCACTGGGTTAAAGAGCTCTTACGCAAAACAGCATCTTCTTACTGTGGGAGGGAGCAGATGACTGTTCTCAAAGCAAGGTGTATATACTTGAGTTGTTGTTTTTCTGTCCCTTTTGTTCCTTGCAAAATAACCCAGCTGCACAACACACTTAACCAGAGGGCAAATCTTGTTTCAATCTAGTCTGTTATAAAGCAGGAGGAGAAAATAAAATAAAAAATAGAAAGTATATTAATTTTCTTTTTTTTTCCTTTAATAGAATAGGCATTGTATTTCTGGGAAATGTTTATGCTAATATTTCAGGGGTAAGTCCCATGAAAAGTGAAGAAGAAAGCACCTCCTCAAGCAGTGTAATTAGTTTATTAGCCACAGTAAGTCATTCTTCCACATGACTTTTCCTTTTATTTTTTAATAGCTTTTCAAGTGGATGGCTGCTTTTTACCCATGCAGMGTGCAGCAGAGAAGAGACGGAGCCATTTGTTGGCTGTTAGGCAAAATAAGAAGTAATTACCAAAGCTAGTTTTGATTTAGCAGTGTTACAAAGGGATCACAGTACTTTGGCCTATGTTTTACTACTCAAATTATTTCAAGCCTTGACTAGAATTATTCTGCTCTTATCTGCCCACAGGCAAACACCTGAATCTATAGTTAAGCACCTGCAATCTCTTCTGATTTTCAGGACACACAGCATGTACTGTTCCCTCTGCTGTTCAAGGAATTTGTACAGGCTTGGTTTCTCTGAAAATTTAGGCAGTTAGACCCAGAGAGAGGCATATGCAATCACAGTTGCCAGGATCAAGCTTCTGTGTCAYTCCTTTGTTGTGAATGTCCCTTCTTCACCCCCACTCCACCCCATAAAAAACACCAGAAAAAAAGAGAGAAAGCACTGTTTCTTGAAGRAAACCTTAAGATTCATGTGCAGTGGATTTAATAGCATGGGATATCTCTACCCCTAGAGACCACGTTTCAGTGCTCCATCTGGCAAAGCTGTTYACAYYGGGGACAAGGAAAAATTCTCAAAAYGGGCATGAAAAATTTCCRTGTGGATGTGAATACCAGGCTGAAACCTGCTTTTTCTGCAAYRAARTCCATGARGAGTACTMACAACTTCACACAAAGTGCTACCCCATTGCCCATTGAGACAGAAACTCCAAAGAGATTACATTTAATGGAGAGCCTGAGTAACGTGGGACCTGGAAAACATGGCCTTCTGGAGAGCAACAAACCAAACCTTCTGTAAACAAGCAGGAAAAGCTTGTGTCTACTGTACAAGCTCATCATTGGAGACTGTTACAGTGCACCCCTGAACTGCCCCATCAACCTCAACCACATTCTCAGCTGCAGCAGTGACTTCTATCAGTCCATATTGCATTTCATCCTCAGCAGTTCCTCACTGGGCAAGAGGAGCAAGATCCAGTGATGTCACACGTGGTGTTTTGATGATATATTCCTATTAGAACCAACAGGKCTAAGCTGTCTCATGCCCTTGGGTTCCCTGGGATATTACCCAGATGAGTAACAACCTCTTTGGCCAATTTTCTGGACGCTGCAGTTCTATCCCATGACACTGTACGTGCCACATCTCTCTGAGCTGTCTGGAGATTTAGGCAGTATGTGTACATAGAAAAAAGTCTGCAGGCCAGGGATGAGAAACAYTCTCAGAAAGTCCATTTGACAAGTGAGGGTTGATAATTTCATCCTACCCAAGTGGGTTCCTCAGACATGAGAGATGGCTCTACAAGTGATCACCACAGAGGGAGGCTCTCAGAGTTTTCTCTTTTGTTATTTTGCAGGAGAAGGAGCTACTTTAATCCTCCGATTTGCTATGGGCTTGTTACAAGATAGTGTAATATTAAAGTGTCTCTGAGTTTTAATGGATTTGTAAGTCATAGCACAAAAAGGGTGTCTTTTGGGAGAAAATTGTTGTCACTGCTAGATACAGAAGTGGGAAGATGATTTTCCCTCTGAGTGGTGACATTTTCAAATGCAGAATCCCAGTTTTATCTCATTGTGTTCCTGATCTATTTAGGTATTTATTTTTGCATCAGAGAGCACTAATACCCAGCAGATTGYTGCTGGAGGATTACCCAAATGGCAGTGAAGCTTCTCCTTTTAACACTGGCTGAAGAGTCGCACAAGTTGAAGAATATTGAAAATATGGGTCCTCTTTCCTCATTACTTCTGTACCTGTCAGGAGGTTGCTAAATATGGAATAACCTACGTCCAGCCAATAGCATCTGGACCCTACTGTTCTGCAAGAACAATCCAATATTCCTACAAAGTCCCAAAATCCCTTCAAGTTTTCCACAAAACACATGATTTGGGAGAACAAGTGCCACATACATTTAAGAGCAGAGGTTGTGGAGCTGCTGTASTCACTTAGTACTCACCAACAGGTATCGTCTGAACAGTGCTGTCCCAGCTGTCCTTGTTGCTGCCAAGGAACCTGTGGCTGGCCCCATTGGTGATCCAGCTTGGATGGGTGAGCTCAGGCAATTGAAGAGACCAGAGATGATGAGACAGGCAAAGTGTGGTCTGAGTAACTACACAGGCAGTGAGTCCTGCCCTATGGGTGTCAGTAGCAGATGACATCACCTGGAATCCCCGAAGCATAAATGTAAGGTGCCTCACTGGACATGAATGGATTGTGTTCCACTTGTTCCTTCAAGAAATTTGCAGGTAGACCATGCTTTTGTTTCCCTCACAGCCACTTCCACAGCAGAAAACTCTCTTGTGTGAAAGACCTCATGGTGCTTTGTTCGCCATGCTGACATGACATTTCTCCTCTGACTCAGGATCTCTTTATAATAGGGACCTGAATGCTGCACTCTTGCTTCAGGGTTTTCTTGACATTTATGAGTCGTTTGTCCTTCCCTGACCTGCATGAGGGAACCTGGCTGAGCAGGCTGTGTTTCAAAGCCATCACTCCCCAGAAAGTRAGAGTTGTACACATTCAAAACAAGCACTCTTGTTGCTAGTTGTGAAAGTCTTTTGACTYATGTTAGCTCAGTCCCAAAAGAGTGAACAAGGAATTTTCAGTGTTACAAGTGGTATTAATCTTACCTAGTGTCATTAGCCCACCTCATCCCTTTCTCATCCTGAGTGGATTCATCGTCATCTTCCAGCATGGACAGATTTTGAACCTTTGGAAGCAACAGATTCTAATTGTCTCCTTCTCTCTTCACAAGTCTTCTTACATTTTGCAGACTTTACCAGGAGAGGAGTAACATCTCAGCCTAGATCATATCACGGTTATATCATGGTGAGGATTAATCCAGGACTGTCCAGCCTTAGCTTGGGCAGGTTTAAACCCTGGAGCCACTCAGACCAGCAAACCCTCCAGCACCACCCTATGTCCCAACCCCACTGGGCTGCCAGTGGCACTCCTGCCAGGGTAGGTCAGCTTTAATCCCTGCCTAGGCCTGGCCAAAGGCTGTATGCTTCACTGGCTGAGCCCAAGCCCTCTCCCCATCCCATCCCTGTGGCACTGGGACAGCAGTCATTATGTTCCACAAAGCCCTTTTTCTCCCATCCAAAGCTATTCCTAAATTCCTCAATGTTTGGAGATATTGCCTAGCACCATCTGTCCCAAGCCACCCTCTATCTGACCTGGTGACCAGCACTGCAGCTTTTTGTTCAGTCCCAAAGGAAATGCTGGCTGCAGAGACRAAAAACAAAATCCTGGCAGTAGCACATCTGCCCTTCATCCGAAGAACCAAGAATTCTGCACAGGGACAGATGAGTTCCAAGCACCTGGCAGGCAGCTGAGCAGATGAGTCATTTGAGGAGCTGGGGCTAACAAGTGATATGTGCATATTTAATGTATCCCAGGGTTCCTGCCTGCTTTCAAATTGCTCTGGGATGTTTGTTGAAGATCGGGGGATGTTGAGGGAGCCTCATAGGCACTCTTCAACCTTCTGAAAGGAGACATTTGATTTCTCAGCACTTTCTGCTTCTTAAATATCTCTGCTGTGCTCTGGCATTAAACTCTCCAGGCCAGRAGGCACTCAGATTAGGCCTGTATTAATACAGATAAATCAGGGAAGAATGAAGTACACCAGGCTTATTAATGTTTCTTTACTTAGTAACAAAACAAGTATGTCTGGACTTCAATTATTTTACACAGAAAATATTGGAATGATGTATCAGGTAGTTTTGTRTCCATTTTGCTCTGTTTTATTTCATGTAAAAATATACATCTGGTACACAAGATTTAAAAAAAAAATCACAACAAAATAAGTGCTTTGAGCACTAAAAATTCATGTGTGCACTTTAATGTTGGCCTAAATATTTACATTTTCTAGCCAGATCTGCCCCCTACCCCAAAAATGGGCAAACTCCAGATTATAAATATTATCTATATCAGATATAGAAAACTTCCCCAGAAAAAGAGCAGGAAACACAAATGTAACGATTCTGTGGCTCAGACGAATTGCTTTTCACACCCMCAAAAGAGTAAAAAAAGAAAAATATTTTTGTCACAATTAAAATGGCACAGGAAACACAACACTAATTATCAGGCACTGCAAACAGAAAGAGAGGAAATTTTGAGACATGATACCTTTCAGGGGAGTAATGACACAGACCAGGTAGCAATAGTATGCTTGCAGATGGTCAAAAAGGTTTAAGAATCACAGAATAATTTTGTGTCAGAAGGGGACCTAAAGARCAGAGTAGAGGAGATGTCAGAGTCCTTCACCTGCTGTAAAGTTGGGTACTGAAAACCAACAACTTCTACAGCCAACATCTGCCCATCTTGAACCAAGACAATGTATCAGGAAATGCTGATATGTTGAAAATGTTATTTTCTGGCAACAGTTTCTTTCCATCAGTTTCTTTCTCCGGTAGACAGTGCTGATCACACTGAGTAGTGGCCTAGTTCACCTCCTAGGTCTGGGGCCACTTGCCATTTGTCCAAGCACCRTTGGATGCATCTTATAACATCATCAAGTCCCCTCTTCCAAATRTGAAAAATCCCTTAAAGGGAAAAATGATCCCTTTGGTAAAGCATGAATTAGGGCAGAAGGAGACATTCATAGCTCGTGGTTAAAAACAGCACATCAACAACTAGACACAGGAAGGCAGTGGGATGAAATGCCAYCAGCTTTGCAGGGCTGATCTCAGGGGTTATCACAAACCCATTGTGTGTGGGAAAGGCAACAGGCATTACATGCTGGCCAAGGTCACACCTGCTSACAGGGCAGGAATTGCTAATAAAATATTTGGAGATCAATATAGCTGAGGACAAAACAAGAGGAAAGGTCGCTGAAAATTTGATATCAGACATAGGAYTGAGTCTCAGAAATCCAAGTGTGCAAAAGTAAACCCGACTTGCCTTGTACTCCAGTAAGTCAGTGGCTTTCTAAAACAGGAGCCATACACAGAGACTGGAATCTACTAAAAGAAGAAAAATCTGTCCAGAGGTTCTTGGAAGACTCAGAAGTCAGCCCTGGCCTGGAGAGGATCTTCTGCAGTGTTCATAGTTCAGTGAGTTGGAATGCCCAGCACAACTCCTTGGGAAGAGGTGTCCCAGCACAGGGTGTCTTGTCCCACCAGACTCTGAGTGAGCCAGCTGAGTTCACTTGCCAGAAGACTTCAGTGGCAAATTCGTTCTGTCATTTCTTTCTGCATTGAAGGGGGAGAGAAAAGAAACACTAAGTGCCAAAGACAGGTTTGAGTATCATGATGTGTCAGGCAGTTTGGGAGGGGTCCAAAACCAATCCAGGGAAGCGACTGTGGGAGTCTCAGGGAGCCTTTTTTTTATTTCCCATGACAGCCCTCCTGGGAACTCAGCAGCTCCATCCTGGCACTCTCCCCGGTCTCTATGGCACAAGGTTATTTTGGCTGTGCTCTAGGCTTGAGAGCAGTCCAAGGAAAGAGCTTTGGCTGAGATGTTGAAMGAGGAAGGTCYCRYTCCTCRCTCAGCCACAGAGCAGCCAGACAAGGTGATGCCACTGTCAGGGCCTCTCTTTGCAGCTGCCTTGGGAGATGAGACATGGAGCTGCTCCCAGCTCTCACTCCAGGTGCTGACCACAGCTTACCCAGAAGACCTGTGGTTTCAGCAAGGGATCCTCCAATCACACTGCAATGCAAATGAGTGCTAATAACAGGCCACAGGAAACCTCCAATGAGACTAAGCTCTTAGTATAACAGACTGTTTTCTTTAGCCAGAATGGCATTATGCCAGCTACATTAGGAAAGTGTCCAGCTTTCAGCTGGTGRAAGATGGTATTGGTCCTTGCCTTAAAAAACTTAACTAATATCTTGCAAATCCTGCAGTGGGATTCTGGCTCATCAGGTTCATGGCTTGTGAATCTGTGTGTGCCCACACAGATTGCAGCCCASAGGAAGGTTTGCACATTAAAATATACTCCTAAAATAGATCTGAAGTAGGATTGGTCCGTGGAGAAGGAAGAATGTAACTCTGAAAAAAGAAAAACTAAGGAAGTAGGATGACCCTTGAGCAACCCTATAAAAGGCCCTTTAGTGAWATAGCCAGGGGAGACAGAAGCAGCAAGCTCTACTCTTCAGTGCAGAGGACTTTGTTTTTCAAATCCATTGGAGACAGTAGCAAAGAGAGCACTTTTCTGTAGGAGTAACATGAAAAATCACTGGCACAGAACACAGCCATCAAATGAAAAGTTGATGYTCTGCTACAAAATCACATTGCAAACAGGAAATGTTCGCAAACATCTTGGAAGGAAATGAAGAGGGTGAGATGACTGTGAACATCCTCTTGCAACAGCACTGAGCCCACCCCACTAGCACAGCACCAGGCACAAAAGCAGCCACGAACAGGAGGAACTGCAGTGACTAGTGGGCTGATAAGCCACCAGTGAGCTCCTCAGACTGGTCCCAAATATCCAAGACATTCCTCACATTCAGGAAATCACCACAGCTCTGCCTTAGTGCATAACCAGCTGGACCCCTGCCAGTGCTGCAGCCCAGAACCACGACCTGCCCTTGTCAAGGACACAAGAGCATGGCTTCTCTMTGCCCCCATGTTCCCTGATTTATTAACAGCGTGAATCACTGCCTTTCRCTAGTTCCGTCATACAAAGGATCCCATTCTCAGTCCCCAAGATTTGCTGCTGAGACATCACATCCCAAGAAAGCTTGACAAAAGGGAAATTGAAACAGCAAAGGGAGATTCAGCCAGAGGAAAGCTTAGAAGTCCATCATGGGATTCATGGGGACTAACCAAATGCAAGGTTAGGACAGCGGTCTGGGCTCATGAGGCAGCCTGGTTGCAGGACACCCTCAAACACACTGACAGCAACTCACTGCCTGAGGGAAGAATGCCCTTCCTCCTCCCTGGTCCTTCCTCTCAACCCTGTAGTTGGGTCTGCTTGAGGCTTGGATGTCAGGCAATGAGACTCAGACCAGAGGCAAATGTGTCTCATTTCCTTGTAGTTTAACACTGGTTGCATCTGTTCACCTTAGAATCATGCATCTTTCACTTTAGAAYCATGCAGACCCATCAATCATCTCATGYTGCCTGTGAGTCATTGGCATTGAAAGCCTATTCAGCTATGTCAGCATCTGCTTTGGCTACCAGGGGTTAATTATTTACATTAGCAAGCAGCASTCCAAGGGGATGACACTATTATGGATTGTGCAGCAATGCTGAGKAGGTTCATCATGAGGAACACTGACAGATGACAGGCTCATACTGAACTGCCATTTTCTGGAGCTGGGGGCCATTGTGATAACATATCTCACAATTGAATTCTACAAAATACTTAATCAATACTGTTGTCATTCAAGTCTCCCCTGATTAGATCATCATCTCTCCACTCTCACTCTCCACCTCCCCATCCCAGGGGCATCCTTACCAAAGGCTCCAGCTCCCGGTGGTCAATGAGGCTGAACTCCCTGATGAAATAGTAAAAGTGCTTGTAGCAGGTGTTGACGTGAGCCTCAGCACCCATGTTGATGATGCTGTCAAAGTGGTGGATGTAGACATGGACAAAGACACGGAAGAGGCGTGTGAGGATCTTGGTGCAAACTTGCTGGAACTGCTTGGGGAAGGGAACACCTGCAAAGCAGAAGCAAATTGGAAGCCATTTGAACATTAAAAAAAAAAAAAAAAAACCAGCATTGAAATGTCTCAGTCATGCTTGACAGGCAGCCATAGATGACAAGGAAGAACACTCTTGGGTAATGTCTAGAGTGACAGCTTCACTGGGGCAGTGTGCCATCGAGCTCTTCCCATGTATTTTCTCTTAGCCCAACTAGCAATTTCACACAGGCATGGGCTGAAGATTTGGAGAGTTGCCCCAGCAGAAAAAATTTCTCCTCCATTTGAGGTGGCCACAAGTCTCCACATCTGGCTTAATCCAGAGTAATCTGGCAGAAGATCCTTCTGCCCTTTCTGCCTGCCTTTCCCCTACAAGCCTGTGCAAGCACAGTGTAAGTCAAATTGTATTTACCAAGGTCCATGAACAACATCAAAACACCTCCAAGTAGAGAAGATACCTTCCTCTCAACCCAAAAGCTTGGTTAATAGTGTTTTTCTTCCTTCTCAYACCCTCAAACATCACTTCTGATGCATCAACAGAAATGGGTGGGGTTTCTACTTTTTTCCTGATCCTTATTTCAATAAAATGTCTCATTAAATCAGGAAGAAAACCACCCATCTTAATGATGTTTGGGTTGTAATTTCACTGCGCCTGTATGATCCTGAGATATCCTCATAGGATGGGACCCACCACACATAGCTCTGTGCTTTCAGCTTTGCCCCAAACAAGGGCACGGTGTGGGATATTTCCACCCTTGTTAAAATGTGCTGCTATCACAGTGAAAATCTCAGGATATGATACTATCAGTGCCAGCAACCTTGGGGTAAATCTCTAAAAGAAACTCAGCTTTGAAACACTAAACTTTTGGGGGATTTTGTGAAGAGGAGAATGAAACAACTGATATTTGTTTTCCTGAAGCTTCTTCCTCTCCCYAGAGCAATTCAATGCAAATACACAAAGAACAAAATAAAAACCTCCCTTCCCACGGTTGTACCAGCCTCCTCCCTTAGCTTCTTATAAATGCAGCACATAACCTCTTGAAAATCTTTCCAAACAAACTCTGCTCAAGCATGGCCAGCTCACACATTTCACACCAGAGAAAGCATGGGCAAATATCTTAGCTAAAGAATTTAAAATGGTAATTTTATCTTTGAATCTTTCTCATCAGCCTTGMTAGGCAATTAGAAGTGTTTTTCCCAAAGGCTCCTGGCAGTTTTGTTTCCCAGCAGCAGTGCCGAGCCCCTCTCCTCTGTGGGTGGCAAACGCAAAGGTTCTGTCCTTCTGACATCACGTGTGGAGACTGTTTTCAGTCACCAGGGTTGGGCAGGTGCTGCGTTTGAAACTCATAAAAGAAAATTMTTTTTGGTCTAAAGCAAAGTCAACCTGAGTACAATCTCCCTTTCCTTCATGCACAGTGTTGGAGCAGTTGGGCAGGGCTGAAACTGTGCTTGTGCCACATCTGGATGTCGCAGCCACCACTCAGAGGAGGACACAGATCTTGGCTCAGCATCACACAAAGGGGTCTTGAGACTGATTAATGGCCACTGCTCTGCATTACCACGAGCACACTGCAGCTTCAGGACTGCTCCCAAAGCAGGGACTCAGCATGACCTGTTTCACTGCCAGCTCTTACAGATCCCATTAGGACTTTCCAGGAAAGATCTGGCAAAGTACAACCAGTCTGTGCAAACACCTTAGAGATGGTACCGGAGATTTGCTTCTGCCCAGCATCCTTGGCTACAGAGCTCTCCTTGCCTGCTAGTCTGACACAGGCAGGGATCAAAGAGAGATCTCCAGGCTCCCCTGCAGTCAGGAGGGACTCAGTGCTTCATCAATGGCTTCATCTAAGCTTCGTGCACTGAGTGAGGATTTGCTGAGCAAGTAAAAGCTGGAATCACYCAGCTGGGGACTCAGACATGCCATTAGGATGGCCCCAGCTTTGAAGAACGGGTCAAGAAAMGCTTTTTAAAAATAAAGCTCATCACAGCAAATAATTTCTGGTGAATGCACACTTCTGGCTGGGGAATACACGCTGTTCTGAACAGCCTGTGATCTCCCTGGGACCAGAAGTGAGCAGCTGGGATCTCAGCAAGGTGCCTGRGAGCAGACAGGAATGCATTTGCTGCCTCCAGTTTGTCACCAGTCGCAAGTCACCAACTGCCTCCYGGTCAAAGCGGGCAGTGAGAGAGAAATCAGACCTGGCCATCCCTGGGAATTTACTGCCAAACTGCAAAGAGTGATAGTGAAGGAAAACAGCWACCCTCAACCCAGCCCTGAGCTGAGAAGGAAATAAGATCAGAGTGAAGAGCAGATCAAACAGATCTCAGGCTCCCAGGGCTGATAGCATCTACAGTGCAGATACCATGGCAGATGAGCCACCTCCAGACATGGCAGATGGCGACAAGTGGCTTTCCATGGCTTTTGTCCTGAGGTTATTGTCTTACACATCTTGTCACCAGCAAGTCCTCATGGACATGCTGGCAGCTGAGGGGAGACACCTCCAGCTTCATCCTGGGTTCTCCAAAAGCAGCTTTTGCATCAGGGAACAGGTTTAGCATAAGTCACAGAATCAAAGAATAGTTTCGGTTAAAAAGAATCTTTAAAGGTTATCTAATTAAAATCTCATGGTCATCAGCAACTATGGGASCTGCTGAGCTCCTACACCTAATGATGTATGGAAAGATACCATCAAGTGCCAGGACCTCCAAGCACACTTCTGAACTACTCAACCAGGAGCATTGGAAGCTCGCGGGAGGTGAAGCTGAGCTGTCCTTCTGTGTGTCCATCACCAGATGTCAGTGTGTGGCCGTCCCCTCCGGACACGGCCAGGMTGTAGTGGTGGCTGTCTGTATTTCYACAGGTCACCCCTCATCCTACCACCACAGGTCAGGACACCACAACCCACTAATGCCCTTTGGGACCAGGGATCACTCGGGTCTGGCTCTCCCTTCAACACCCCTCTCGCTCTCACACCTGCCCAGGGAGGCACAGCAGGGYTCTGCTGCCTCTCCCCGTGTCTGCTGTGCCAGGAACCTCGGCACAGGCTACGGATGCTTGACTGGACCCTGCATCTGGCACAGGGCTCTGTGCCAGCCGATCAAAGCACTTCCCCTCGGCAAGGAAGCGGGGCGGATATCTGATATGCAGATTGCCCCTGCCAGCAGTGGTGCCTCGCTGCTGATCTCCAGTGACTTGGAAAGCARCCCACAGCAGCCCAGCAGGCACCAGCCGTGCTGGTGAGGAGCTGGGAGAAACTCCACATCCCCTTACCCAGAGCTGAAAGAAAGGGCTCTGCAGTAAAGGCTGCATCTGAGAGCAGCAGAAAGATCCGGCATAAACCCGGCCTGACCTGGGTCAGGGCTGCTGGYGCAGCGGATGTCCAGCAGACAACGCTTGTGACATCCTCTCCAGCACGTGAGGGGACACAGCCAGAACAGGCTGTGCCTCTCCCTGCAGSCAGGCACGCACTGCAGCCAGCGTGTCCCAGCAAGGGGACAGCTGTGGGATGGAGATCTCTGGCCACACGCACCCATCCTGCCCTTGTGGGTGTTTGGCCTCACACTGAGCAGCCAGGMTCGCTGTCAGTCCCATCTGAGCTGTTCCAGCTGCGGTGAGGGGTCACTGCCACAGCGAGTGCAGAGCGATGGGGAGCACACCCCACACATGGACTCCCCTCTGAGCTCCCAGATCCCTGCCATGCTCAGCCAGGCTGGTCAGCCTTACAGCCAGCACAGAGAGACCCCACCRGTAACCAATGCACCAATAAATGGCATTTAGGAGTGGGGCAGTGGTGGCCCTTGCTTAGGGGACTTCCTCCATCTTGAAGGTGGCACATCATGGCAAAAACACGGGACAGTAAGAGATGGATGAGGCTGGTGGGACAGACCCTGCATGGCTGAGACATCCTGTTAGCAGAAATAGAGCAGGCCAGGGGAAAGTCAGGATGGAGCCCTAAGATTTGACAAACCACCCCATCAGGGTGAAGATGCTTGGTTTTGCTTCATTGTTCTTAGTCCTACACACCTGCAAGGACCAAGAAACACTATCCTGGTTCATCCCATTAATGGTGGTCTAACTGCCCCAGAGGGACAGCAGAACATCACAAAACCCACCTGGGTTGCTTTAAAAGCATTGAGATTAATGCTTTAAAAGCATTAATTCCCTGTTGCYCACCATCCAGCAACCTTGGAGACAGCAGCAGCAATCCCAGTTCTAACTCTTCTTGCAYGATTTTTAGTTTAGATATTAGGAAAAGTTTCTTTACTGAAAGGGTAGTCARTCATTGGAATAGACTGCCCAGGGAAGTGGTGGAATTCACCATCCCTGGAAATGTTCAAGAGGCCTGTGGATCCAGGACTTGTGGATATGGTTTATGGCTGGACTCAATGATCTCAGAGATCTTTTCCAACCTAAATGATTCTGTGGTTCTATGACTGATAAGCAGGGGGTCACAGAATGCAATGTGAGCTTGCTCAAACACCTGGAAAACAATTTATACATATACAAATAAGGTCAGCTCTTCTCTTCCATCCCTGACCACAGGCTGCACACAGACCAGCCAGCATCTGGGAGCACCACCTGTCCCAGGGCACAGACAGCCAATTCCAGGAGGACTGGAGCAGAACAGCCATCCAAAGCAGAGGAAAAGGGAGAAATTCACTCCTGCTCCAAGCCAGGGCAAAAGCTGTAAGTACAGCAGGTACAATTTCACTCCAAGCAGCGTGACTCACAGCTCTGAAATGAATTGGCACCTTTCGTTTGTCTTGGATGTTTTGCTTGAAAATCCCAAGACATGATTTAAAGCTCCAAAGAATCTGTTTTCCCCACTCTGTGCTGATTGCTTCAAAACATAAGGAAACCATGTGTAAGAGGAAATGAAAATGAGAGGTAACAAAGTGCCTGTGCTTATGGTAAGGGACTGCCAGTGGGTGCTGGATCTTTCCTGCCATCTCCTATCCCTAACAYGTGTGCACCAGCCAATTTATTTTTTTCATGATGAATCAGTACTGGGAAGCTATTTTGCTTCTTGGCAAYTGTGTTTTTTTCCTCTGYRAATGCAGTAATTCAGTGAACTTCGTGATGAATTGTTGTTATTTCTCAATTTCATTTTGGCCACCGTGGTGTTCGGTGATTCATTTTTCCTAAAAATAAGKCTTTAAAGCCCTGTTTAAAACTAACAGCATGATGGCAGCTGCAAGCTGGTGTGGTATTAATTTTGGAAGAAAAAAAGCAGGGGGRAAAAAAAAAMCAAATTATGTAAAAAAGAGCCAGCTGAGAGAACACCAATAATTAGTTGAATTCTGAACATTTTTCTCCTGTTGTTATGGCAAGAAAGTATCGGGTAATTTCACACTGAGTTTTCTCTGGTTTTTATAATTGCTTTGGGACCGTGCTTGAATGACAGGCTTGAGTTTTGAAAAGCTTTCCAAGAACTGCTCCAAAACCTCCTGTGGCCGGTGCTCTGTTGAGCTACAGACAAATCTGGCAGAGAGCACGGGGTGTTTSCGGCGCTGGGTCTGCTCCAAACCCTGCCCTGATGATTTAAGAACGGGGAGATTTCAGCAGCCACCATGGTGCTGATGGAGGACACCTGGCCTTGTGCAACCTCGTGCTGGGCTGACAAGTGCAGACACAGCCATGGACCCTGGAAATCCCATCCAGCCAACCTTCCTCCTCAGCACAGCACTGCCCAGCAGCAGCTCCCTCAAACCAGGCAGAATGATTACTGGCAGGAGATGGTATTTTCCAGGTGATAATTTGTTCATGTGGCCACTCACTGAAYAAATCTACTAAAATAGTTTTACCAGCTGGTAAAAGTACACCTGTAGTATCGTTTATTCTTCTCCCTGCCTGGGAAAAAATGCTTACTCCCCTTTAAATGTATTTTTCAGGATGGCTACATCAGTTGGAAGAGTGGAAACAAATTACAAGCACACACAAAATGATATGGGTTGTCTGGGAAAGCTGCTGCTTCTGTAGATTTACAGCCATCAGGCTGGCATAGGTCACCCCATGCAGGTATTAGTCTCATCTTAACTGGCTGACAAACAGGTTCCCACTCCAGAGAAAGGATTAGACAGTGGGATGGAGCCCTGCAGGAGGATTTCCCTGGACATGGGGAAGACACAGTATCTCCCCCAAGCCTTGCTGTGGTATGCAAGGGGCTTGGCAGCCCCCCCAGACCCGTTAATAATCGCCACCATAGAGATTTTCTACCGGTGCCATCCGAGGACTGCGGCCCTGCTGGTTAACTCTGCCAGGTCACAAACTGTCTGCTGCTGTCGGGCTCCCTTCCTGCCATGTCAGATGCCAGCTGTCCCTCTGGTCTCACTGCAGAGCTGGCATGAGCCCTGCATCACGCAGCTTGGCTAAACCAGAGGTGTTTGTCACTCTGCTCCCCTCCCACATCTGGAGGAGCAGATGCTTTAGTGGTGCAAATCAGCCCAGCTCTGCTCCGGTCACTGGAGTTGTGACCWTTTATCCCATCCCCTGTGATGCCTGAGGACTCTGTGAGCCCACAAGCCAGTGAACCATCTCTGCTCATATCCAGCTGAACCTCTCACCCCAGGGTCAAAGATTTCCCCCCTCTGACCCATGAGATACCTCTCCCTGAACTGTCAGGAACCTATAAGTGGGCCCTGCTGAATCATGTACTGCTTCAGGTAGTGCTTGGGTGGAGGAGGATGCTGAGGTTAGCCTCAGGCAATGTTTGTGAGTTTGGGGAACACTTGCTGTTTGTAAGAAAAACAAATTTAGAAAAAAGAAAAGTCTGTTTTGTCTGTGATCAAGTGATCCTTAGCCAAGGAAATCTTTGTGCTGGGACACCTTTACTGAACATGGCAAAGACAGGCCAGGAGGGAAAGCTGAGAWGTACAAAGCTCATGAAACACCTGCTGGGACACTGAGCTGTTGTGCCCAGGGACCACTCCAGCACAAGCAGGAGTGAAACAAACCTTCGTGCTAAATCCCATCTCTGCTGCTAAGATCTAAGAGCCTCACCACAACTCCAAAGCATGACATTTGTAATTTCCCCTCATCACCTCATCAAACTCCTTTGCCCTCCTTAAAACAGCTCACATCTCCTCTGTGTCCTCTCAGTGCCTTATTCCCCTTGTCCTGGGTCTTTTCCCAAGGTGTTTTCCTGCAGCCAAACATCTCCATCTTCTGAAATGCCAAAGGTGCCAAGTAATTACCCAGTGAACAAGGCAGGCAGTGAAAGGCAGATAATTGGGGACACGAAGATGACAAAATGCCACCAGCTCCCTGCCTCCCCCAACAGCCTTTCATGTGTTTCAGAGTGCAACCTCAGTCTGAGTTCCCTTTCATTTGTGTGAGACTGGAACCACCAAGACATGCTGACACAGGGACTGATATCATTCAGAGGGTCCCCACAACAAAGGGGCTTGGAAAGAGGACCCCAGGAACAACTTCGGAAGAGAAGAAAATGGATTCGACCCATGCTCACCTACAGTTATCCTGGATCTCACCCACAGTGTGTGTCCCCACACTGAAACAAAAGGAGAAGTGGAAACCAGGGGCATCAGCCATCCCTTCCTACATCAGGATGTGCTAGAGCTCAGAGGGAGAAGTGACAGAAATGAGCTGAAAGCCACCAGGGCTATGACTGCATTAGGCTTTTGCACCTCAGAGAGAGACGTGGAAGAGCAGAGGGTGCTGCAATGTCCCTCCTGTGGACATTGCTCTCTACAGCGTTAAGACTCCCTGCACACCTTTACTCCCTGGAGAAGTTTTCAAGCAGCATCATATCCCAAATCCCACCTGAAAGGCATGAAATTGGATCAGGACACTCTCCTTTCTGGCTGGAGGGAAAACAGAATAAATCCACATCTGTACCTCTGCTTTTAATGACAYGCAGATCTTCTCCTTGGGGAAAAGCAACCTGAGGAAGAGGAAGACCTACCCTGTTCCCTGGGGATGCCATCTCACCCCTCGACAGCAGCAAACCTGTGCAGCCAGAATGAGCAGGGACTTTCCTGTCCCCAGCAGGGCTGGGACTGCTGGCCCACTGACACTGTGAGCCAGCCACACTTCCAGCCTCCTCTGTCCAGGGACTGAGTGTCCCACATGCCCCAAAGGCATCCTGCCTGTCCTCCAGCATGAGGATCAGCACTGTGCTACCCTGCCTGCCCCAGACTAGCAGCGAGGGGAAATAGGCAGTGAGTGCCTGCAGGTCTCAGCTTCAGGGAGTTGTCCCACACTAACTCTGGCAAAGTCAGAGCAGCAGTGTGGCCAGATCAGACCAGATCAGGGGTCTGGAGCGGTCACCCCATCCCAAAGCCAAAATAGTCTGGCACAACCGGGCTGCAGGCACTGCCTCCCCTCTTGCTGAGACCCAMAACCCCTCTCAGACTCCAAGGGCCAGAGACTTTCCTTAAGAAGAGACACAACTACATGTACAGCACGGCCAAATAACAAAGTAATCCCACACAGACCATTTTCTTCAATGTTTCCCAGCATATTAATGGAAATCTTGATCATAAACTGCACTGATTTCATACAGCTCTGTCTGCTTGGCAAAACAAAAAAGGTCAAGCAGACATGCAAATCCATGTTTTTCCCCCACAAGATCCTTAAATTTTTTTTTTACATTCAAGTAGTTTCATGTTCCATCTGAAAAACAACCACTCCAAGGCACGACCTGATACTCTGGAAGACCCATCAGCTGCAACCCTTGAACTCATCTCCCCAAATGACAAAAAAGCAGCTAAGTAGCAGCTAATATCAGCCTTGGCAGCTGCTGAGCATTGCAGGTCAGCGACAGAGGGGTTAGTTTGCAAACTGTGTTTGTCTTTGGCAGCTGCTGAAAGGTCCTAAAGCCAAACTTTTTGAAAAGTTGTGTTATACACCCTGGGCCTTGGCAGTGGAAAGGCCACATCCTAGGGGCAGACATCTGCTCCAGCTAGGTAACATGATGTGATGTATTATCAGGACTGAGATGGACAGGGGCTGAGGAGTGAAGCAGCAAGACTGGACAAAGGTTGGACCTCAGGATCACGACCCTGCATGGAAAACCAGGAAGAAACTGAGTGGACTAGTTGAGAGAAGAATAAGGATGTGATCACAACCTCTAACCAGCCCTGAAGCTTAACTTCTTAAGGAAAGGCAAGGAAACTAATGACCTACCAGCCTTCATTTCTCACAAACACAGAATAAGTTCAAGCACAGAAATGTTGTATTTCCCATCCCTTACTAGCAGGATGAGAAATCCCAAACTCAATTTGCAGCAAAAAGATGGGCAGACACTGAGGAAGACCTGGAACAGGAAAGGCCATGGTACTTGGAATCACAAAGCTCATCAATACCAGCCCTGAGGTGCGCCAGCAGCTTGGAAATCTGCACCAGTCCCAACCCCAGCGAGGAACCAGAGCACACTCACCTATCCTGGTGGGGAAGATGTCCTCGTTGTTAATGAGCATCTCGATCCAGTCCATCAGCATGCACATGTACTGCGGGGCCGACAGCTTGGTGGGCTTCTTGTACTTGCTGTCATCCTGCCACCTGTACTCGTACTTGAGCCCGCCGGACATGATGGGGCAGCTCCTCTCGGTGCAGTACTCCGACATGGTGCCGTAGATGAGGTTGATGCGGTTGAAGAAGTCCACCACGTGCACGGCGATCCAGTCGTTGATGCTCTCTCCAGGAGGCAGCTGCACCACTGCCTTCAGGTCCAGCCCGGACTTGAGGGAGGCCTGRGCTTTCTTGTACAGCTCGAAGCGTTGCGTGCCCGGCTCAAACTTCTTTCGGGGACGAAATGTTTTGTCTTTGTTGAAGACTTGCTTGAGACACAGAGCCATTGCAGGCAGGGCCAGCCAGGCTGAAGGCAGAGGCTCAGAGCAACATGAAACCCAAGGCTGGGGTCCTCAGGGATGGAGGTTTCTGGGAGAAGAAAGAGACACATTTCAGTCACACATGAAGACAGCTGCACGTGTGGGCACACTCACAGGGGCTCACACCAGAATGCTGGCTGACCTCATTGCTCTGAGCACATGGGGACAGAGATTTGGAGGGAGCTTCTGGCCCTTCCAAACCCACCAGGGTGACCTGGAGCAGCTGCTGCCACATCACACAGCAGCTCCCGGCGCTGGAGAGGGTGAGTGCTGCCACACAGAGCCCTTCCTCCCTCCTGAGCACTCCAGGAGCTCACCAGGCCCCASCCAACCTCTATCTTCCAGGCTTTGACCAACTGCTATTGCAATAAAGTGAGAGCCATGATAYCAGCAGAGCTCACCAGCTCAAGCAGTCCCAACCTGGTGGCCTTTTCCTCTCCTGTCAAGGGGGAAGCATCTCTTTCCCAGGAACTCAGTACAAATAACCCCTGGCCCTGCAGCAGCGGCTGGCGAGCGAGGCCCCGGGGACCGCGCTGCGAGCACAGCTGGCTGCTGGTTCACACAGCCCCAGCGCCAGGATCAGTGGGAAAAGGGGATTATTTGTGTTGTTCTGCCYYGTGTGTTTGTCCAAAAGAACAAAACCCACATCCGAAGAAGGGAAACGCAGCCCARCGCAGCAYGACAACATTGCCAGGATGCCGCCAGCTCTCCAGGCATGCACACAATGCACACAGCAGCCCTCGGGGTGGTGGAGCTGATGCTCCGGGTGACTCCAGGGCTCAGCTAAGTGCTGAGATCACYCCTTCCTGCCCAAGATTAGCAGCACAGATGAGGGCTGAAGTATTTTCCTTTTCCTCTCTGAAATCCAGTGGAAATCCCATGYRCCCGAGGCTGTCCTGGACAGGCTGAAATTGTGTATTTTGTTACCTGCACTAACACAGTGGTGTTAATTGGAGACCAAGGCCTCCTTGAGCTAAATGTCTTGCTGAGGYTTAGGGAAGAGAAAGTCCTCCAACAGCCTCCCCCTGAAAGGRGGAGATGGAGAAGCAGTTAAGAAAAAGGAAGGAAAATAYTTACGGGAAAGGGGAGTCACTRACCCAAAGTTGCAAGCAGGAGGGATTGGTGCAAACTTTGGACACACATTTATCATAAGAAAGACAACTTTAGCCAAAATTGCTATTTAAACTCTGTTTTCTAAACTCAGCCCTGAGCCCCAGGCAGATCCTATTTTGTGACCAGCTAAACATCTCTCAAGTGAAACCCTCAGCTTTCCTTAAAGCTCACCCTTGGGGGCATCACTGGGAAGCAGCAGGACCTAGTGATCATCCCAAATGCCTGCAGGATCTGCCTGGCAGGGATTTCTGCACCATAGCCAGCACATGGAAAATCCTCACATGGAAAAGCCCAGCACTCCTGCCATTAGTGCACAACCTTTCCCATAGGCTGGAGGATGAGCTTTGCAACCCTTACACAGTTCACAGCACAGAGGCACCAAACCCCACCATGCTCTGCTGTATCCAAGTACAACCAGACCTGGAAATCCATGGTTTTAGGTGCTTTCTGCCCCACAGAGGGGGTCACAGCCATCGCACAATGTTATGCAGTATGACTTCAAAACCAACTTCCCCACCTCATGTGGCTGGGTGGATTTTAACAGCCACATCCCTGCTGCCCTCATTTATTGCCTCAGGGCAATGACTGGGGGATGTTTCTTGGATGCTTTTTCTCCCCCTGCTCCAAGCAACTGGTTCCACCCATGGCAAAGAGCTTGTTTCCCACTTCAAAAGAACAGCACAATCTCTCCAAAATGCCAGCTGATGGAGCTGGCATGATGTCATGACTCCTATCTATCCCTTGGGAACGGCCTGTGCTGCAGCAGTCCTTATGGATCCCACRGGAGGCCAGGGGTCTCTGGGCACAGTGAGGCTCTAAAGAAAAGCTCTTATCCAGGGCTTCCTGGATTCCACATATTCAGGCACATCCTGTTGATAACACCTCTAAAAAAAGCCTTCTGGGGAGTTTGCTAATGCATAACACTTTCAAAAATATGTCTRCATACATACATACACACATGTATATTTATATATAACTACTGCAACAGGGATCCTAATTTAGTAATGTAGGAAGTGCTGGGATACCCTCAGGAAGAGGCACTCAGCAGGCTTTGCCATAGTGCAAAGTAGCAATGATGGAGCCAAGCAGTGCCTGGCCCTGCAGCCAGGTTTCCCTGGAATTTCAGCGAGGGAAGTCGTGCCAACAGGCATTTTTCTGTGTCACCATTTCTGTTGGCCTTGGCTCCATCTGCTCTGTTTCAGGAGCTATTGCTGTTTGCAGAGTCTTCCTGGGCTGTTCCACGGTGATGAGCGGCCACCCTGGCAGGTGACATCCCATCAAGCGTGTCACTTGCAGGGGCTGACAGCACTGAAATCAGTTCCCCTTTAGTGCCTCACACTGCAATTCCTCTGCAAATATTGAGCTACTCRCTGGGAAATAATCTCATCTCCTGAAGGCAAACCTGTAACTCATCTACAATTGTATCCCTGCATCATCCACAGCTGGTTCCCTGTGTTAACCTGCAAGCTGCTCTCACTCACCAGGCAGGTGGGAATGTGCTTTGCAGTTCAGCACCATCTGAATAAAAAAAAAAGAGCAGCAAACCTGCTAAACATCTGCCAGATGTTTTCCTACCATGCATCTGTTAGAGTGGGAAGGGGGGAGCAAAGCTGCCCAAGTGCTCAGAGCTGACCTGTCCCCAAGGCTGCAGGATCCAGCACAGCACCGCAGCCTCTCTGCTCCCCAGGCAGCAATTTCCCTTTCAGGATCCTCGTCATCACCACTACCAAATCACCAAGTCRTTAAAAGACCTTGTTAATCTTTACTGGAGAAAAATGTTCTCCAGAAATTACATTTAACACAAAGCCAAAAATACAACCTGGGATTTATGACCTGAAGAAGCAGAGAGAGGCACTAAGCCAAAGAAAAGATTTGTTCCCTACCTCGCTTCAGAGCTTTCCCTGCCAAGAGAGATTGATGGGGAGGGACTGATGGGAGCAGTGGTGGCCAGCACCAGGACATGAGATCCCAGATCTGGCCCTTGCTGGGGCACTGAGATGGGATGCAGCAGCTTGGACCAAACAGGCTTTGCAAAGTCTCCAATGCCTCAGATGCCACTCAGACAGACATTCAGCAGCCACCTCTGTTTTCTGGGAAGAAAAGCAAAATTCTTTGTGAATGAACCCAGACACATCCCGAGTCTAACTGGAGGAAAAGTGCCTCAGCCAATGCAAAACCAGATATTCCCAGTTTCCACCTTTATGCATCCGACCTGGCCGGTGCTCTTCCATCACTGACCAAGTATTTGGGGCAGATCCATGTAAAGAGATGGAAAGTGGGAAATCTTCCAAGGTTTAGTTGTGGCGCGAAGTTCAGCTGAGTCTGATGTTCAGGGCTGCTGTGTTCCTGGAAATTGTGCTGTGGTCCACTGGGGTTTGGGGTGGGGCAGGAGACCTGTCTTAGTCCAAATCGCTGCTCTCACTGCTTGTTTTGGGAAATCCTAAAGGCGAGCTGCCATCCAACAAGCTCAGACAGCAGCTTCCTACAGCATGACCGGGCAGATCCCGCCCCAGATGATGCTGGCAGGGCCTGAGCCCACAGGTCTCTGCCTTCAGTTCCCACATGCAAAATCAAAGCTTTTCCACGAGGAACCTTGGCAAACGCTGCAAACCCCCTTCCCCATGTCACTATTCCCATCACAGGACGGTGCTGGCACTCTGGGGGTCCACAAATCCCTTTCYGAAGCATCTGCAAATCCCCAAATCAAAACTCATCCTATGCTTTGGAGCAAACAAGGAGTGAAGCAGGTTGAGCTGTAGACTTTCCCTGCTGTCACCCTGTGTCCCCACAAAGGATCTTCAGAAGAGGATGAGCAAAGCTTCTGGGAGGACAGAGACTGCCATTTCCCCTGGGACATCCACACCATGGCGTACTTGCTACTCTCCCCCATCCACGCTCCCAAAACAGCCTTGGCTTTGCAGAGCTTGGCTACAAACACAGCTGAGTGGCCACAAAATCCCATCCCTGGCCATGAGGGCTGCTGGCTTCAGTCCTGCCCTGGTTTTAAAAGCAGCAGCAGAAGCAAAACTTGGTGGGATTTGGCAAAACCCAAGGAGCACAGGGTTAAGCTGTGCAAGGACAAGGCAGAGCCGTGCTGGGGAGGTAGCAGGCATGTGAAAAACTGAWGTCCTAGATTGCTGCCAGGTCCAGAAACAAAAGGAAATTAACTGGATGGGAGGGATGCAAGTTCACGGTCAGTCTAAGTCGCTAATTTCAGATTTGAGGGTTGGTTTTGTTTTTTATCTAATCTAGCTTGCTTTCTTACTTTCTTTTTTATCATTTGAAAACCACAAGGAACAAAGCAAGACAAAGGCTTTGTTGTAAATTAAAAACAACTCTGAAAGGTCTGTTTAGAAATGACAAAACAAAAAGGGAGAGCAGGCAGAGCTGCAGGAGGGTGGCTTCCTCCCCACAGTCCTGAAGGCGTGGGGGCAAGGTCACCGAAGAAAACCTCTGGTTTTGATCCCAAATAAGCTTTAGTCAGAAACCCAGCAGGATGGATCAGACAGATGCACTGCCAGACTCCAGGATGATGGTCACAGTGATAGTCCCAGGCTCCCTGCCTCAGTGTCCCTAATTTCAAAACTGATTCCCCTCCCCAGGCTTCCTTTRTATTAAGGGCTGCAAAAGCAAAAGCTTCAGGGGAAAAAGTGCTTTGCAAGTGTCCCTTGGAAGCACTAATGACCGTGAAGGGTAAGGAGAGAGGAAAGCTCTGACACCAGCACCTCCCRTGGCTCCAGTGCCAAGGGCATCCTCCCTGGATCCATCTTCTGACAGTGACAAATTTGCAGAAGCATCTGCCTGGAAAACGCTGCATTAGCAGCATGCTCCAGCCCTCGTGGGCTGTGTGACCACTGGGGAGCACAAYGAGGGGTCCAGCACTGCAGGCAATCCGCAGGGAGACTCCAGTGCCCACTGCTTTGGGAAGAGAGCAAGGAGGCAGAGCACAGACCTGTCCAGCTCCAGCAAATTGCAGMTTAATTACTGCCAGCTCTGCACATTCCCCTCAGGCTTCCCCGGGGAGATGTTTACTTTGGGGCACCCAGACAGCTACTGCTTCTCCGCTTTAGGGGATTCCCTATTTGCCCTCCTACCCCATAGTGTAAAAGTCCCATCCAGCCCCATCCCAGGACAGCATCAGCTCAGCCACCGTGTGCCAGAGCCCTGAGACAGACAGACAGACAGACAGACAGCCTCCAGATGGACAGTCTGCCCAGAAATCTGCTGGCCTCAGGGCACAGATGGCTCTTCACTGCTCCAGGAAACCTCACAGCCTGGCTGAGGAGTTGGCAGCCCTGTCTCTGAGCTTCTCTTCAATCCCCACTCTTTGGGTGTTCAGATGCAGTTTGGTTTTCAGCCTGTCCTAGAGCAGCTTTGTCACCAGCACTTCTTGGTGGACTCATGCCCCAAAGATAGAGGCTGCTTCTCCCAAGCAACCCTTGAACTGCAATAACTGCAGGAGGGACTGGGCAAAGGGTGCTTCCAGGGAAGGGAGTGTAGTCCCTCTTTTCTTGCCTTTCCAGCCTTGTACTCGTCTAAGGAAGGGGGGCTGCAGAAGGAAAATGCTGGGGAGCAGAGTCCCAGGCTATTGGCCCCACTCCTCTGTGCTTCCCTCTGGAGCCAAACCCCAGCTGGGCTGTCCGTGAGAAATGGGGTTATTGGCTGCAGATCCCAAATATAACCCAAACGATGGAAAATTCCAGGAAATGAGCCAAGACAAGATGCCAGGAGGGGGATCAAGGCCCAGCACATGGGCTGGGRCAGCTTCAGAGAAGCCCTGGGCTCTCAGCAGCATCTTCCTGCTACCAAACCTTCCTTGTAAAAACTCCCCAGGTGCCACAGACACTCATGAGAGCATCCCCGAGCACCCCTCTCTGGAGCAGAGCAGGACTCAGACCCCGCACTCCAGCTGGGGACAGCTGCCAGCAGGAAGCTGTGCTGGTGCTTCCCCCAACTCACATGGTGCTTGGAAATCCCCAGCTCATCAAAACCGGACCCAGATGGTTTCCAGGAAGCGGACCACTTACACCCTGGCTCACCCCAGCRCTGTCCCCCTGCTCTGTCCTGCTCCTTGCCCTGTCTCCCTGCCACACCCACCAGAAGAACAGCAACTCTTTGGGGACCACAGCCTGGTCCAAAGGCACCAAAAGAGCTTTTCCCAAGTTACAGAAGCCACCTCCACGCAGAAAAGCAAAGCGTCATCTCTCCAGGGTAGAGGCAGCATGTCCTGTTCATTTTAGGTGTGATACCCAGTGGGACTGGGGGCTTTTTGGGGTACCTCATTCCTGGGGGCTGAGATCTCGCTGCTGYGATCAGTAACTTGCTGCGAGCGCTGCAAAGAAGGATCCAACGGCCTCGGTGGTGTCCGACAGCTCTGCTTCAGTCCCACGGGTGGTTACTCTGTTGTCAGAGCCGTAATTCCAAACACCGAGCGCTCCAGGCCTGCCAGCTCAGGGAAGAGACGAGAGGAGATAAACCAACTGCTAAAAACCCATCTCCACCGCTTGCTCTCACCCTGTTCCTCCGCCCACAACTTTCCGCCCTCCCTCCCACACCGGCAAAGCGGCTGCCGGGGCTGTCCCGCTCGGGAAACGCGTGTGCTGCCTTCCCCTGCCTGTCCCCCTTCCCTGCCTGTCCCCTGCCCCTGAGGGACCCCCTTTCCCTGCACACGGCCGGCCATTTGCACGGATCCCTGCCCAGCATCCCCGAAACAGGTTCCCTGGTTCTTACTGAGCTGGGACACCCCAGAGGAAGGGGAAGAGCYTTCTGCAGGCGTCCATCGCCCTGCTGGGTGAAGAATTGCTCTTCCCCTTCTAATCCCAACCCAAGTCTCGCCCATCTAGTCCTTAAAAGCACCCCAAGAGCATCCCCAGGGGTGCGGTGCTGGCTTTTTACAACCCCAGGACTCACCTCATCCCCGGCACGGCGGCTTCCCGTCTCAAATCCCTCCGCTGCGCTTTCTACCCTTGTTCAGGGAAAACGAAAGAAAAAAATATATTAGAAAGATGAAAGTTCAAGCCGGGCTCTCTTTCGGGACTGTTGGCAGCTCGGGGATCGCAGCAGCAGCAGGGAGAACCGCCTCGCTCCGGCGCTCACTGGGGTTTTGCTAGAGAAACCCGGGGCCGAGGGTTTTTGTCCGGTCAGTGATGTCACATCCTGACCCTGCCGGCAGCTCCAGCTGTCCCTGGAAAACCCGCTCGGAAGAGTGCSTGCAGCCCCCACCATCCTGAGCCGTGGGCTCGCAGGCTCAGGGGTGGGCGCTCACACTCACACCCACACCCACGCACCATTCCTGGGTGCTGAGATCCTTCCTGGCGTGCAGTCCCGTGCCGCTGGCTGGCTCCGGCTTTCACAGGACAGCAGGGAAYTGGAAGAAAGGAGATGAAATCCCGGAGTATTTTCCCCTCCTCCCCCCATCTTTTGACAGTCCGTCTCCCTTCATCCTTCCTYCCCTCTGCACACACACAAAAAACAGCCGGGGGTTTCCATGCCAGGCCAAGCTGGATGCCCTCCAAAACAGAAAAGCTGGAGAGAGGGGTAAGAAAAAAAAGAGACAAACTTTCTCTGCACAGAGCACTTACTTTCCATCTCAGTCGGAGGTGGGGAGAGTTCTGAAGCGCGTTGCGGTATTTAAATCCTGCTCAGCAAAGGCAAGCCTGAGCCAGCACGCTCGGCGCCGGCAGGAGCGGCCAGCAGCGTGGGATGGTTTGGCAGGAGCCGGGATCTGCTGTGGGGTCAGACTGCGGGGCGGGGCTGTGACACCGGTGCGCACCCACGGCTGATGTGTCGGGTGGTGCAGAGCACGGCGCTGACACTCGCGGTTCCCTTCCTCTCACGGCGACGTGTCGCTCCCAAGGGATCCCCGAAGTGACATGAGATGCTCTGGCCTTACTGAAACCTCTGCAGATTGCTTGGCAGCGGGACAGTTCCAGCGAGGGAAATGTTTCTAGGTTTTCTTACACGTGTGTGCTAAACTCAGGTCAAGCCAAGCGCATGCAGGTGGTGGGGTGAGCTGGGGAGTGGGGCACAGGGCACAAGTGTGAGAAACGAAACCCCAAGCCCAGCAGCCTGAGATGGCAGGAGGATGTGGCTGCTGGGCACGTTGGTRTAAAGCTGGAGGGTTTAGGATGAGGGTTTGATTCCCTGAACCTTCCTGGCATCCCCTACTGCTGCAGCCACRGCTTCATCTCCTGAGCCCATCCAGCAGGATGTCTCTGCAGGATCCAGACTCCTTCCCCCATAAACACCGTTTCTCAGCTGCAGGTGATGCCAGGGTTTGCCCTTTGGGCACAATGTTCAGAGGCAGTCTTTAAAAATTAAGTTATCCAGCAGCTTCCCAGATTAGAGAGCAACAAGGGAGCTCAGCCCATCCCTTCAAGGCTTTTGCTCTCCTTTTCTCCCTCTCTCTGTGACACTGGCGTGGTGGAGATGCAAAAGAAACTTTGGCACCTGCAGTAGCATCTCATTAGAAGTGAACAAGACATTTTAGGGCCCATTTAATGGGGCAGCAGCCACTGGTGGATYACTTTCAACTGGAGCTGAAGGAATTGCAGCTTGCACACGCCAGAAGCCCCTTGCTTTTCTACCTGTCCTCATCTGGGACATTGCTGAAGGGCAGGTCCTGAACCAGGTGAAGGAGAAAGACACACCACGGACATGCAGGATGCACCTGTGCTCTGCACCCRTGACAACATGGGATAGCTGAGGTGTCTCACACCTGCTGAAAAGGTAAAACCTTGAGGCTGAAGTGCCCTGCACAGCTCCTTAAGCAGGAGGGAAGCACGAGCCATCAAATTCATCTGTCCAGCTGCTTCCCACCACCACCATCATCAGGTATTTCAGTACAACAGCCATAACCTCAAAGCTCAACTCTGTGCATCCTCCACAGGACCTGCAGGCTGAGCCTTTTCCACTTTCCATCAGCCTTGCCCTGCTCATGAGTGAATCTCAGTCATTGCAGATAATCTCAGGTCAAATTAACACCCCTAAAATCAGAATCAAACTCAAGCAATCCAGCAGACTCTTCCTGGCCTCTGGCAAACCAACCCCATTCCTGGCTCCAGCAGGTTCAGGTGAAATCTTTTCTCATCCCCAGTGCTGGATGCTCCCTGCTCACATATTACAGCCACCCCAAGTCCCAGCAAGGGCTGAGCAGCTGTGCTGTCCTCCATCCTGGGGACCTGTGCCCATGCTCCTCTCCAAGGGATGCAGCAAACAACGGAATGTCCTCAGATCTTGAGAGCAGGAGGTGGAGGTCTGTGGAGCAGATGTAACTCCCAAAAGCAAATGCCAAACCAAGAGGAAATTTTCAACTGAAATCCCWGCAAAAAAATGGGCAGAAATCCAAAAGTGAGGGGGCTTGGCCGAATAGCAAAGATCCCAAAGGCAACTCGTAGCCAGGATCTGCATCCAGGCGAGATGGAGCCAAAATACTTGGAGGCGAGATGGGGTCCTCCCACCCTCAGCAGTCTGGAGCCAAAGGAGAGGGGCCAGAACAGCACGAGGGCTGGAGTTACATCAGCTGCAGCCCCACAAGTTCACAGGAGTGAGCAGCACCTCCTGTTCAAGGAGTTACCCCYTTGCACGATRTTTTGGAAACCTCACAGAGCAGAGYCCACRGTCCCAGAGTCACCCAGTGTCCCAGCTGTGGGGAGGGAAGCAATGGTCACTTGGGAGAGAGGAAAAGGTCTGAGGGACAGGTTTGGGGCAGGAGGGATGTGTTATTGTGAAGAGGGCATTTGTCTGCCCTGCAGGAAGGAAGAGGGGAATGCTGGCCTCGCTCCCGAAGGCAGGTGCACGGCTGAATTTATCGGGRGGAAGGAAGCAGCGACGGAAGCGAGCCCGGAGCACTGGGCGGCTCCAGCGGAGCTCACGGGCAGGCACGGGAAGRGGCCCAGGGCAGCGATGCAGCTTCTCAAGGCTTGTCAGGACACGGCTGCACTAGGAGCAGACTGGGTGAGCCCCCTGCCAGCCCCCACCGCTGCGCTGGGCTCTCACACAATGCCCTGCACGGCACTTCATGGGCACAGCCCCTTCGGCAGCGGGGGTAGCTTGTTGCCAGGCGGAGCTTGGAGGCTCTGAATGTGCACAGCACAAGACACTGCAAAGGGAGCTCTGGGTTTGCTCTGGTTATTCCCAGAGAGGAAAAGGACGTGCACAGAAAAGTTCTCAGCTATGCAGCGTCAGGAACAGTTAGTTCCCCTGCTCAGCTCCACTATGTCCTGCACGCACTCAGAGACAGGGAGTGAGAACTTGTTCAGCTGTAGATCGGAGGGCACTGGAGTCTTGCCATTTTCTAAGGCATAGGGAAAAAAGCCAGGGGCATATAAAAAGCACTGGAGTCATCATTTTAAGTAAGGGTAAGAACGTCATCCTTCAATCTGCACTTCCCTCATTGCTTTGACTGCCACCTTCCTCCCTTCCCRGGGAGCAGGACGGGCTCTGGGTTTATYTCCCCAGGGTGACRGGGTGGGTGGGCAAGCCAGAGCTTWGAGATGCTGGTAACAAAGAGCCTCTGGCTGCAAAACTTGCTCCACCACTCCAAGCAGGAATTCCTGCCACATCCCAGCCCTGGGCACTCCTCCAGCTGGAGGCAGACCACAGCCAGCACTGAGGGGGCTCCTACAGCACCTGGTTCAGCCACCCAGTCCTTGCTGCAGGATGCTGCAGGAGCTGAAGTTTAGATGGGGCTGCTGGGAGTCTTGGGCTTCTCCTCCATCAACATGCCCACTTGAGGGCTACCAAAACCAGACAYATGCATCTTGGGAAGATCCTAGCCCAGAAATGACTGGCAGTCAGCAAACATGCTGGGAAACTACTGCAGGATGTTTGCCCCCTCCAAGGCAGCTTCGGTGGGATCTATGACAAGGGGCTGGTGGAACTGTGGGCTGAACTCAGTGCAGCCCAGCTCGTTATGGACCATACAGGAGCAGCCTGGGCATCTAAAGTGTTCTCAGCACACAGCTCACAAAGTTCACAAAGCTGAGCAGACAGGCTCAGGCAAGCTGGGTGTGTGCCCAGAGCTCAGAATAAGGAGACAAACCTTCCCTCTAGTGGCTGGATGGCACATGAGTTCCACGATCACCTCTCCCAATATCAACCAAGCCTAACAGCGTTATTTTTCACYAACCCTTAGGCTTAACACAGATCCTAAGTGCATCAAATCTTACAAATTCTGTGTGGGTTTTTAGTGGCTTGAAACTGGTGCAGCTGCTGATTTGTACAAAGCCAGACAGCCCCAGGGGGCTGTGTCCACTCTGCAGCTTGTAGTGCCCATCCATGCCCATGATCATGTCCGTGGTCAGCCCTGGCTGTGCCAGGCAGCACAGTTCATGCACAAGTGCATCCCAGGCACTGGAGAGGTCACACAGCCACAAATCGCCGCTGGTTTCTGCAGGATAGGTGGTTTGTAGGGCAGTTCTTCAGCTGAGTTCCTCCCCCTTACAGAAGTTATTCACTGCGGCGGAGTATCAGGCCTAGCTTTTCTTTTAGACCTTTTTATTATGGGTCTTCCCATAATAATAATTCCAGTTTCAGGCTCATCAGGGGTCATTTCTGCCTTTTTTAACCCCCTGGGAAAGTTCTTATCTTAGGAAAAAAATCACGATAGATTGAAAACACCACCACTCAAAATGACAGGTAGTGACCACTACAGCCTTACACTTAAGACTTTGGTCTTTTATGCTCAATAGGAGGCTGAGGTATAGATTTGGAAGGCTTGKATTTCACTCCCAGGGATGTCAGATTATAGCTCTACTAAAAATGAATGCAGCAACTTCGACTTCTTCAAAGAAGAAGTGAATAATTAATGAAAACAGCCCTTCTATCAGCTAAGGAAAAATRATAAATGGAGCATGAACACTACAAACCAGAAGTAGAAATGCTTTTCAATAAAGGTCATTTGCTRTTYAGATCMCAGCCCTATCCACACCCCCTCTGAYTGATTATTCCCCTGCTRTGCAGACGGCTATGTACACACCCAATKCACAGAAGCAAAAATACATTACCAGGGAGCAAGACCAGCTCCTTGCAGCAAACCAAGATGTGGYGCTTCTAGAAACATCCTGCAATTTCCTGGAWGGGCAGGTGTTCACACCCARCATCTAAGAGTTGGTGATAAAATGRACACCAACATAAAACYGCACGGTGTAGCTGCAATGSTTAGCTGAAGTGTTCATGTCATAAATCMAAAAATGGGCTSKGTTTGAAGGGACCTTTTAAAGGCCATGTAGTGCAAAGAATGGRCTGAGAACGCATGGAGTGATGGTGGGAATTACAGCAACACTTACCAACACTGCTGTGTTAAAGCAGCTCTTCATATTAATTCCAAGACATTTCTTTTCATGAGCTGTCGCTTAACAAACAAGAAGATGTCTGGTGACTCTCTCTCTGTCACTATGTCAGTTCATCTTTCTTTTATTATGGATAGTGCCCTTTCTGAAGTGGGAACAAGAGTTATTTTCTGTCCCTTCAAATACCATTTGTGAGTTGGCTGACTAAATGCCAGTCTGAGAAAAATTAATCCTGCAAAACAGGCAATGATTCCTCTACACTRTCAAAAATACACTAAAAAAATAAAACCATGTTCATACTGCTCAAAATAACATATTAAAGACAGAAACATAGCAACAGGACACAATTAATATATCAATTAAGAAGAATAAAATTCCCAGAACAAATGTGGTGACTCTCTTCTTTTAATCCTGAGAAAAACCYAGACCACAGTATACCTCTGTGTAAGAAACCTCACAAAGAAACAAAGAGGTGTCTGTTTTAGACCACTGCTCCTATTCTTTCTTCTTGATGCTCAAGCCTGTATGAATTCCACACAGATTAAAAAGTACTGAACCATGCAATTATAATGGTGGAGGGCATTTAAAATGCATTTAGTGAGAAGAAACATCAGTTGTCATCTCTCTCCTGATGTCAGTACAGCCCGTTACATAGTTCCCCTCCTGTCACTTTATTTCAGATTTCAACACTCCAGCAGGAAGTTAGAGGACAGGGAAAATGGCTCTTTCTGRTGAAGTTACACTGAAGTACTGGGCTCCATTTTTTTGGCAATTAGTTAYTGTTGTTCAAATGGCCCAAGTCCTCATCTTGCATCTTACAGTGCCAGACGGGCATGATTATCATACTCCCAGGATGTCTCCAGACTTTCTGTAGCCAAATCCAAGCTGTGAAACAGAAGACACAGGAGCACCCCTCCTAGGACCCCCTGCCTCTGCTGGCTCCTTTCACCACAGGCCAGGCTCTATGACTTGTCAGATACCTGCCCAGATCTCAGTTCTCTTCCAAGCCCGCTTTGCTCAAGCTCTGCTATAACTGACATGTATTTAAATTCACTGGATCTGTGGTTGAASGTCTCCACTAATCCGTAGGTCTCGGAGCGATCCGTGGCATAGAACAGCTGCACCTGGTTGGCCAAGCACTGGGCATCATGGACCACCTGGGATGAAAACAGAGCTGTTACCATCRGGCTGGGGCTGTGCCAGTGTCCCACTGAAACAGAAAGGCCTCAGTCCTACTCATCACATGGCTCAACTCCAAGTCACCTTTATTTAGCAAATCTCTTAACAAATCACCACCCTGTTGTTTTTGACCTACTTAAAACACTTCAGCACCGTGTGTTTTAGCAACTCTCCTGCTGTGCATCTGCCTCAGAGGTCAAGTGTGTCTTTTGTGATCCCTGCCCACTCTAAAATGCACCAAGTCCTCATTTTTCCCTTCTTACAGCTGACCTACTTGCAAAGATTGTTTGCTGTGAGACCCAACAAGGCAAAAGCATTATCAATTACTCCAGTTATTGTTTCAGAAGGGGTGTAAGGAGGTCAGTTGGAGAAGGGATGTTTTAGTCATCTTACTTCCACCACTACAGTCCCCAGTGCCACCACTGRCACAGATAYCCCAAAAATCATGTGYCCAGAGGSAAAGAGCAYRGGYRTRCACAARCTGARCACACAACTCTGGAGTCTCCTGCTYTGACAAATAGGATTAAGCTTCAAAACACTGTGTTAACTTGTTTGTASATAGCAACAGCTTTCACTTAAATTTGCTTCTGTTAGTAAGAAAAACAGAAGCTTTGTTCTTTTACAACAATCAGTTATAATACTCAAATGAAAAAAAAGAATGCATGAACTGAAATCACCAAAGACTGATGACTGSCTTCTAGCTTTCCCTAGCCTTATGTACATTAGGTTAAAGATAGTAAGACCATTCTTTGGCAAAGGATCTTTGAAAGGCTTCATTGTCATTTGCTTTTCATTCAAAACTGTAGGAGGAGTCACAGCATCGAATGAAGGAAGCCAAAGAGATTTCTCTTACCAAGAACTTGGAGTCCATTTCTGCTGTCATTAGTACTATCCCTTTCTCCTTCTGCAGATCAGGATAATGGTACAAGACCAACTGGCTTGGTGCAGTTTCACCTTGGGTCTGAAGGAGAGAAAGAAACCTGTCAGTATCCCATAAAAACCTTCACTCCACTGCAGACTTGGGTGCTTGATTATGAAACTTTGARCATTAACTGCCCCAGAGGTGGTTACTTCTCAGGGCTTAAGGGTCAGTTCTAATTAAAAGTTCATTATTTTGGTATTTACAGAAAACAAGGAATTTGCAGAGTTGTTTTTTCTCCTTGACTAATTTTGCATTTAAAAGAGCCCACCATTTTTACAAAGGTATTTCTAAAAGCATCTACTGCTATTTTAAGTAGCTTGCACAAACAGTTCTAAAGTATAATATACTAATTAACCCATCACTAAYGGCAGCTTTTGTCATTGTAATTCTTTCAAGTTAAGCTACACAAACTGTTGGTTAAACTATTTAACAAATACCATWTATTGCAATATGCCGATATTATGCATTTCTGGATCCGAAGTCAATTGTGAACTTTTTATCWCAAACACTCACCTGAACATTTATCAGGGAAGTGAAATGTAATTCTGTTCCAGACCACTGGCCCACAAAGAACTCATAGCCTTCTTTTCTTGGCAAAGCATACAGAAACTGCAGAGAAATTACACAAAAACCAAACCAATTATCCTTTTCATAGAACAAAATGATGCCTGTGTTACACAGGCCTCCAGCATTAATGCTTTAGTGAGAGAACCACAACAGAAAAAAGGGTTTCTTTGCCCCACCAGGAGTCATAGGACAGCAAAAAACAGACTTCAAACTAAATATGTTGGCAAATACTTTTACCAGTATTTTGATACATAAAAAGGAAATGAAGAGTGGAGACCATTCAGACTCTGACCTTTTTGTTCTTACCTAGAAAATTAGCAGCAGAAATGGTTAAATATAAGGTAAGGAGCATTCAGAGCATTTAATCCTGTCATTTCACCAGCTGCTCCAGAACAGCCAGCATCTTCTCTCTAAAGATTTACAGTCTACAAAGCTCCACAGGCTACAGACTTGCTCATTTTCCCACACCAAGGGAAGGACAACATGGGAGTAGAAAATCATGCAGGATACCTGACTGAATGCCAGTGCACAGTACAGAAATGCACATCAGGCTATAAATAACCTCCCAATCTCCAAGTAGCTCAGGAAGCCAGATACAYTTGATCTCGCTCTTGGCAAGTGAAGTATGTAGGACTAATCCATCAACCTAGTAAAGTCTCCATTCCCTGGGAGATTCTGTGCTGCTGTTTTCTCAACCCTCCATCTCGTCTATCTAGATCAAACTGGYTCATGCATATGAACAGACACTGCTTTATCTGAGCACTAGGACAACAAGTATTTGAGCACCTGGATTTTACCAAATGGGCTGATACAGTGGGTACCAACACAGGAGGGACAAAAGTTTATGGATTAGGCTTTGAAGAGAAGCATTACAGCTCTACAATCACGCACGCCGTACGTACCGATGGACAATTCTGGGCTCTCYTCCAGATCAAATCAAACTTGTCTGCCTTTGGGGAAGGAGAAAGAGAAGTTCAGTTTTCGTAACAAAAAAGTGGATGCAGAGTTGTTCACAATCACCTCATTAACCTTTACAGGGTGCAACTTCCATCTGGAGAAGGTCCCRCTGAGGGGACAGATGGCAATGAGTGTGGAAAGCTGCATTTAGTTCTTATTTACCTAAAAGTCATCAAGTGTTCTGTTTTAACAATGCTGTCTCTATGRTGCAGCAGCAAACTCCTTGGATCCAGAGCTTTATTCTTTGGATGTGGGGGCCCCAAGCCTCGGGCTTACATCCTCTTCCAGTAATTGCTCCACTGCATCATGTAGTGTCAACAGCTGAGCAAGACAACACATCCCTGGCTCCAAATTGTGGATTTACATCATTGTCATCTGTTCTTCAGTATGAAAATGTAGCCCATCTATTCACTCAATAATATACTTATTGCCTAGGTTTAAATTAAAACCACAACCCTATTTGGCCAGCCCTGATGAAACCTGGCAATCTCATTTACATGTTCTCTGTGCTTCCCCAATCTTTTGCCTAATTTTTTTTTTTTGCTTCCCAGCACTATATTAATATCCACKCTTAGGTGTTCAGGAAAGAAAACATATGCCATTCATCAACAAGAAATTCCTTCGTGTGTRCTTTTGAGCACTGGTGAATTATGCAAGGTCTTTCCTCCAGCCAACAAAAAGCTTCTGGCAAAAGACAAAGGGKTTTTTTTCCCTCCCAATGACACCATGAACTGCTTCCTAATATGCCTGGGATCTGATTTGTATTGAAGCCTTAAAACGTTTCCAGCATTACTTCTAAAACAGTGCACCAAAGCACAGTGCCACAGCCCCACTAATGAAAGACCTACATCATTTTAACTGGAGTCCCTGGCTTTGGCCCTCTGCTACAGTAAATGTGCAAGTCCAACTATTTTCACAACATCCACATGTTGGGAAAGCYGGAACATGAAGCTGCTTGCCTTCAAATCCCACACTGCCCTTTTCAGAGCCTATAGCACATCACACATTTAGAATACTGCCTCCCACTRAATTCAGCTGCAGCTCAAAGGGCCAAATACAATTGCAAATCAGAGCCCAGATCTAAATGAAGTTTCAAGAACTCAAGGAACACACAGTTGTGAACAGACAGATTTAAGAGATCAYGATCACAGAATGACCCTGAAGAAAAGAATAACGAGAAATCCCCAAAGTGAAAAAACCCTCCTTCAGCCAAATGCAAACTAAGAACAATTAACATCTGGAAAACTTATCAGAGTAAGAAATTGATCTTATCTCAGGAAACACCCTGCAATCACAACGAAAGACAGTGCTGCCAATAACTGTAAATATATGAAAAGYAAGTCATAAGTGCTTAGCTATGTGCAAGTTACCAGCCAAGTGCTCTAGAACTGCCATATTAACCTCAAGGCAGCTGCCTGTGCTGCAGGGAAGAGGSGAGAGAAACAAGCAACTCTGAGAAAAAGCAAATAACTCTAAAAATACAAATGCTGCTTAATAAACACTAGAGCCTTGTGAAATGTATGGGATACTTGCAATAAAATAAGCCTGGAAACTCCAGCCAGGTGTACAGAAAAAGGCATTCGACTTATTGAAACTCCTGAGTGAGAAAAGAGGGATATGAATTTTTGGAAACAAAAGCCTTTGTCCAGGGCAATAAAATCAGTCAACTCAGAAAGTAAGTCTGTTCTTGAAACCTCATTGTCCTTTAATGACTGTTTTTAAAAGCTGCAGAATCACAGYTGGAAAGGAAAGCTTTGCATGCTGGCTTTTCAAGTGCATAACTGCAGGGGAATTACTTACAGGAATAACAGCATAAACCGTGTCTTTTGCAGAAAAATACTGATTCCAAATCTGTAGGAAACAAAGGAGATACAGTTGAAGTCCAGCATTTAGCAATAATGTTAAATGCTTTAAAATGTTAACTAACCTTTGTAAGCACTTTGAGAAGCCATTTTCCAATCAAGCCTGAGTGACTTTCCTGCTACTGTAATACATTTCTCCTAAGGTTGCTGAGTACTTGTCTCAGAGATTCCAGCTAGGTCACAAAAATCAGCTCAAAGGTAGGCTCAAAGGTTGCTCAGTATTTATTACCATCAGAACTGCTTCTTACATTTATCCCAACAGTCACACTGATGACTTTCTGGTTTTTTTTTGGTGGTGTTTTTTTTTAATAAAGAACATGCACAATATTTTCAGTGTAAGACAAGTCTTTGCATAATGTTTCCTGTGTTGACAGTCTTTTTCTTCACCACAGGAGGATGGCAATACCCCAGTGTATCTGCATCTCTAGCACATCCTAGGAGGACTTACCTAGATGGGGAAAATTTTATCTTCTCCCATGGATACCCATGTGAATGTGCTTTTTGATAAATATACATCCACAGCTGTGTTTTATTTTTCAGTCTATGTAAAATTTCCATCCTTACATGCAGATCACTATTAAGCACAGATGTGAAGCAAAGTTTATTCCATTTTAATCCATCACCTGTGTTATCTCCTCYGCTGATTTTTCTTTCACCATCTCAACATTAAGAATCGAATCAAGTGTCTGCAAGAGAAAGCATAGACTTTGCCATGATGACAGTTGTCTGATTCGTGCAATAATCCAGAATGAAGGGATGCAATTACACAGAACAAAATCAACCTAGAGGAACTTATTTCAATTTATAGCATGACTTAGTCCCTTTAATTGCCAAATAAACTARTARAATACAGCAGCAACACATTGAGAARTAGATTCACAGACTGAAMCAGAATAGATTMTTTCTGGACACAGCCATGCTTTGCTCCAGTTGTGCAGATCTCTACTGAAGCTGCAAGAGGAGATGCAGCCTTTGGTCTTGAGCCATCTCAAACAGGTGCTCTTTGGCAGWTTCATACTGAGAATCTACCAAAATAAAATAATGTGAAGGAGAATTCTCCTGTCCCTGGGCTGGCTGATCACTGGAAATGTATTTCCATGCTGTAAAACCCTTTCCATTTACTGTTCAGAATAGATCTCCCAACTAGCAGGAACTTCCAGGGTGTCACATAGAACAGGATAATAAAAACCCAGAGTGCCAGGAGTTTTAAGGTTGAACATGATCCCAACTAAAATTTTACATTCAAAAGCAGCATAAGGAACACCAGGTTTGTAKCAAAGTGTTCTTGTCTGAAGGGCTGACTGTGGCTATAAAAGATCCACATCCTTGCCTTGCCACCATGTCCCCTCCTAACACTTAAGTTCATTTCCCTTACCTTGTCCTTTGTGAATCCTCCCTTTGATGTTTTGGTGCCCAAACCTTCTGCCTGCAAGAAAACATTCTTCTTTAGTTTTACAGCTAATGCTCTAATACCATTTATTTGCCTTCCCAGGCACACATAACATGCCTGCTGATAAAAATCTCCTGAGTGGGAGCTCAACATACTTGAAGAYCACTGCAGTGTATTTTTAATAAAATAAGTGATTAAGTAAAATAAATTAGGTTAGCAACTTAATGTGAATTATGAATTTCAAGGCCAGAAAGTATTAGTCAAAGAAAACTWTTATGCATTTTGAATCCAGTATTATTGAACAGTCTTCTTGCATTCACTAAAAAGTTATAAATGCAGGATTGCGTCACTCCTCTGGCCAAACGAATCTGGAACTAATTAAACTGAAAGTTTAGAGCAGGAATTTACAGTCTAAAAAATAACAATACATAGGAATAGAACAATATATTTAGCCATCAGAYTGAAATTCCAGGGGTCCTGCTGTTAGGGATGCTGCAAGTTTGGAACATATAAMAAATATTATAGCTTTAATGTATGTGATTTACAAAGAAAATCAGCCTTGCCTTTTCCTCCATGCATCTGATAAACTCCCCTTGTTTGGAATGTCCCACAGGCTGCTTTTTCACTTCATTTCTTTTTTCCATACGGGATTCAAACACATCTGGAYTGGACCTGAATTGGAAAAGCGACTATTAACAGTACAACAGAACAATAGAACAGCTCGAGTTGGAAAGCACCCATAAGGATCATCCAAGTCTAACTGCTTGCTCCATGTCCAACTGGACATAAATTCGTATCACTAAAACATTCCAGTTCGCTTTCAAATAATCTTAAGTTTTCAATTATAATMATAAACAGGAAAAATCAATGCAGAATTAAGAAACTGTGAAAGCTTTTGTACAGTAACGCCGATGACCTAAGGCTTTGGATTTGTTTTTGGCACTGGATTCCAACAAGAACAGGTTGGACGGAGCTCTGAGCAACCTGACCTAGTGGAAGCTGTCCCAGCCCACGGTAGGAGAGTTGGGACCAGTTGATCTCTTAAGGTTTTTTCCAACCCAAGCCATTCCATAGTTCTGTAAGTGAATCTATGAAGTATTTTGCTTCATTTATTTTTATTGCTAAATAAGGTGACCCACCTTTATCATAGTAGTAATAGTATAATAGTAACAGTAACAGTAATAGTAATAGTAATAGTAATAGTAATAGTAATAATATCACCATGATTCTTCCATGGGCAGTTCCAATTGTGGCTTTGCCAGCAGATGGACTTACACCTAAAATAAGACCAACTTCAGGCTACTCCTCTTTCTCTTTCTCCTTTCGTTTCTCCTTTAAACCCTCTTTTATAATATAATGAAAGACTAGAAGCTGGACCATTCTTTGCCTGCTCCAATGGTTTCMGAAGATGGAACACTCTTTGCCTGCTCCAACAGCTTCCAAAGGTGGAGAGCTGTGCTGCGTGATTAACACTTGGCTTTTAAAATGCTTGCTATGATATTGCTTCATGTTCCTAACCTAAAGTTTTAATTTAATCTTAGCAGAACTATCTCTTATCCACCTGACCACGTTGGGAGATGACACTCACTGCTCTGGTGCCGGACACATGAGCATTTCAAGGTGATTGGCCTAAACTAATCGAATTCCTCAAGCAGGCGAAAAGCTAAAACAGAACATCTCTCCTTCAGTAAAGATCTCCCCTAGCACGCCCTTTTCGTAAAACACAACCAGCCCGCCCCCTTCCGCTGCCGCCTTCCTCAGGGCCCACCTCCGCAGCTCCTGGATCTTGTGCCGGTACTTCCCGTAGAACGGGTTCTCCTCCAGGGCCGCTTCTCCCGCTCCCGCTCCCGCTCCCGCTCCCGCTCCCGTTCCCGCTGCCGGCCCCAGCACCCCCCGTGCCGGCGGTGCCAGCAGCCCGAGCGGCCGGAGCGCGGCGCGGCTCCGCAGGGCCGCCCCCAGGCCCCAGCCCTGCAACAGC